GGAGAAATGAAGGCTTTTAGAATCTGTATAATTGCCAGAAATTTCACGTTGAATGTACAGTACGAAGAAATTGAAGAAACGTCAATGAAAATTTTTCATCTCGTGCACAAAATGATTGGCTCTGAAAAAAAATATCCTTAATGAATCAAAATATATTCTTTGGAGAACCAACACATTCTTTGAGAAAAATAAGAACTGTAAGGTTTGGCTCAGAGTAAAGTAGCATTTTGTTTTTCGTTGGACAACAGGGCTTGCCTGAAATCCACCCATCCATCCATTTTCTAACCACTTTACCCAGAGGCTCGAGGAGGAGCTGGAGCCTATCCCAGCAAGCAACAGGCACAAGGTAGGATACTCCCTGGATGGGACGCCAGTCCATCACAGGGCACACACAGACACAAGCGCGCACACATACTCACACCAGGGCCACTTTTCCCAGAAGCAAGTTAATCTACCAGTATGTCTTTGGACTGTGGGAGAAAACTAGAGCACCAGGAAAAATCCTACCCAAACATGGGGATTGGGGATAGCATACAAACTCCACGCAGATAGTACTTCAGGAATTGAACCCAGAGTTGTGAGACAGAAATGCTAACCACTGCATCACCCTCATTCTCATTTTTCTACTAAGAAAAGAAGTCTCGCAACGAAGAGATCAACTTTAAACTGGTTTCCTGCCTGAGAAAAGTGATGTTTTACACTTACATTCTAGCCAATGAATGGCTTCAGAACAATGTGCTGTATTGCACTTATGGGGAGCAGAGACAACCTGTCCAAACTGTCTATTAAAAAAATTCTGAAAGTTTATCCACCCAACACTAATAGCAGCACTTACTTCACTAGTCAAGCGATAGTTAAGAAGCAGTAGACACATAATTTGAGTTGTCAAAACCATGAATTGGTTTGTCGCCTGTCTGAGCAAAAGACAAACCAGATAGAGGTCTGATGGCGGAGGAGCACGGTTGAGGGAGAGGTGTGAACAGGTACTGTTCGAGAGGGGGTGCACTAGAAATCCTGATGCTCACACAGAGGTGAGCAGAACTGGGTGGGATTAGGGCTTCACCTCTCCACAGACGTTCCTTTAAAACTCCATTAAAACACAAACCTTCCATCACAAAAAATAACTTACTTGAATAGAGCATCATGTACTCTAAATAAAGACCCCTTTATGTACTGGCTATAAGCATAGCTAAAAAATGCAATAAATGTTAATATCACTCCATCATCAGATCAAGAACTCTAATGCCTTGTAGTAATCATTGCCATTCACAGCCTATCCCTAGAAAACAGGGTGAAAAACAGGAATACCTACAGTAGTAGAAGGGGCATTAGTCCTGTCCAAAGCATTCATACTCACAGGGACAATTTATACAAGTGAGGACTTTTTCAAAGGATGCAGAAAGCTATGAATCTTCAGTATTCACCACCATTCCATCATACTGCCAGTACATCTACACATACATCTCCATCCAGAACGAAGGAGTGGTTAATTTGTCACTATTAAGTAGGAAGATATCACAAAGGTTCAGATGTGGAACCTTCATCAGAAACTGTAGGACCTAAGAAGCCTCACAACTGTTTTTCTAACAAACTCTTTCTTTCAGATGAGAAATTATTTAAGGCTTTAATGATACTATTTAGTGTTTATCACACAATGGCCCAAGGAAGGCCAAAGTAGGTCCGTTTTATAACAGAATGGCTCTGCCGCAAAAGCACTCAAGTAAAATAAGTGCAGTTTATTTACAGTGTTCCCAGTCCCCCACACCAGAAAACAAAACCCCAAAATAGAAACAAAACTAATTCTTAAGACAAAGATAAATCCTCCTTTTCTTATTGCTTTCTCTCTGTTTTCAGTCACACTACCTGACATACCAACCACCATCAACAACTCACTCTTAGGCTGAGGAGCCACCTTAAATAGCCTGTAAGCCCCTCCCCCTCTGGAGCAAACCATTTCTCCAATTCAATGCATGTGGTTTTTCCCATCTCCTCCAGTGAGTATCCTCCATTTTGAGAGTGCTCTCCATTCACACCACAATACTCACTCATACCTGTGTTTGTTTTTTCTATGTGACTGTATATGAAATTAAGTATGTGTTTATGTACGTGAATGTATATGAAATTAAGTAATAGCATTTACTAGTCAAGCCCTCAGGAACTTATCTAGCAGCTGCTCAATGGAAGGTGTATGAATATTGTATTTCCCGTGCTATCTGTACCTTGTGACAGGCTCCTCTGTTACAGTGTTAATTTCATATTTCATTCCTAAAAACATACACGTTATTTAAGGTCAATAGAATAAAAAGCACGAGTAATCAATATTGGTTAGAACTGAACCATTTAACTTGTAGCCAGTCTATTTCATTTACACTGCTAATCATCTTTTTTTGCTGTCTTATATTCCATGCTCCACAATATTTTTTGAAGTTTGTCAGAAAACAATCCGCTTGTGTGTTTCTTGAGGCGTTTAAGCATCATTACACGCAATTGTTCATGCTATCTTTCTAAATGAAGTGCCAGGCCCATGACAGAGCATTTTTACTTAGATCCAATTACTCCTCTTCCACTCATCTGAGAGATTAGAGATACTGCAGTGATTTCAACTTGCACGGCAAGAGCTGTCTGTTCCCATCATGGATGGAAAGTGTTCTTGTCACGACAGTCTCACTACTCTCTACTCTCTTTTACACTACTCTCACTGGAGGCAGATAAGAGGATGGTCCTTTTTAGTCTCACCATTATCAATTTCATGAAATGGGGAAAAACATTTAAACCTCCATGTGTGAGCATACACATTTTAACCTGCTAGGATTATACCCATTAACAGAACTGATTACACTTTCACAGGGAACTACTGTACTGTATGTGGTACCCTCTACATGAAATTGAGTGCCATAGAGCAATATTTAAATGAAATTATTTTTCATCAATTAAAAACAGTACTATTGTGTATTGTGCCTATTTTACTCTCTACTGTATGTCCCGTATTTTCCTTGTTAAGTATTTACTGTAATATACGGTTTGATACTATGCTGAGATATATTATAATATAACTAATGCTATAGCTTCAAATACATACTGGATACTGTATGTGTGTGTATATACAGTATACACAGAGTGAACAGAGAAACTAAACTGTGTTATTTTCTGTGAATTGTGAGACGGGAAAGCAATTTTGCTTCTATCCTCCCGTAGATACAATGTTTTGATCAATGTTTTCAACATCTTTCCTTAATTAGTCAGGTATTTTTTTCAGCACAAAGGGTATTTTGTCATTGACAGATTCTGCAGATCATTATTCCCCGGACATCTGACATGGTGAAGGTCTGGGCATGAAATACGAATCGATCGCTGAATATCGCAGTGTTCCCGTGACAAATCATACCAAACTCAGCATGAATTAATAGCAAACAAGTTTTTTTCATTTCCAGTGATTATTTATTATTCTGAAAACATATATAGATTATTGAAAGTGCTTTGATGTAAAAGTGCTTTTAAGTGAAAAAATCTGTATCTATTTTAATTATTTATTTAAGTCTGTTTGTCTTTGTAAATGCAGTACACTGTACATATCTTGTAAGTTGTAAAGTAATCTTTTTGGGGGGTGGCAGTGCAGTGGCTAAGGATCTGCGCCTGTGGCTGGAAGGTTGCCGGTTTGTATCCCGCGGCCGGCAGAGGAATCCTACTCCATCCTACCCCTAAGCAAGGCCCTTAAGCCCAACTGCTCCAGGGGCGCCGTAGAAATGGCTGATTCTGTGCTCTGACCCCAAGCTTCTCTCTCTGTCCGTGTGTCTCATGGAGAGCAAGTTGGGGTATGTGAAAAAAGACAAACTGCTAACACAAGAAATTGTATATGGCCAAGAAAGTGATCTTATATTTTACTAATAGTCACCAAATGTCATCTGCTCTTAGAAGTATTCAGCGCTTAATCATTTAGACATCATTCAGACAAGTTTGTGGTTTGTGTTAAAATCAAACAATTTTATTTTTAAGCTTAGCTATACAAATAGCAGAAAAAAGCTATATTGCAGTTTGATCTATGTTCATTTCAGGCAGCCAGGAAACTCTGCCCACTGTAACAAGCAAGTGTATATATCAGAACAGGCAGCTGGCCAGAACTATTTGTGTGACTGTGATCTGCATACAAATCTTTTAGTTTAGTATTTTTTCCATTACAAACTGGAGGATATTAAATACTGTACATATAGAATACTGTACTGGAAGGGGCACCTGTCCAGTCCAAATCATTCATACTCACAGGGACAATTAAACATGCAAGCTCCACACTACAGTATAGATTACTACAGTTCTGCGTCTTAACTTATGTGATGGATCTTTTTACTTCGGCTGAGGCACTGAAATAAATCCCTATGGAAGCTGTCACCTTAAAGAACGTGTTGCAAGACAATATAATTTGAACATACCATACAGTTATTGTACTGTGTGATATAAATCATGGAAACATTACATACTGTACCATATGTAAAAAGGCATCATAAAAAAATCTACCACTGTATTTCGAAGCCGAATGAGAAGGATGTTTCTTAAAATATGAGGCAAAATAAAACATTCTTTGAAATTAGAAACTTAGGATTTGCTCTGTCAGTAGCAGGGATCAATACATTCTTGAAACTTTCAGGCAGATTAATCTGGCTCATTAAGTGTGCCATTAAATTATTTGGGCAAATGATGCAAAACCCAACTCGTATTGACATTATTATACAGTATGTGTCCGTGTTTTAACCCCATCATATGAGTTTCTGGTTTTCAGGAATTTATTCTTAAGTAGCTCTCTTAATACAGAAAATCAGGTAACTGCATCATACATTTAATGCTTTTTAACCATTGACATGCATAAATTCTTAAAGTCTTGTTCTTGACATTCATTTTTAAGATCCCTTTACATACTGTCCATGAGTGAGATGAATTCCAACCAAATGCTCCGCAACATTGTCATCGTCAGACCTGCAGAAAGCAGTGGTTTCATCACTGGGTCTTACCTTCTGCATCTCCTAGGCCCAGTGGTGTCTGCTTTAGTGGGTCCTGACCTCTGGTCTTGTCCATGCCATTTGGAATAGCCTTTCCCCTTTAGGAAAGAAAAAGAACAGTGTTGTCTGAATAGTATTATCATTGACGTTCAAGTACTGTAGGTACAGTAGCTGCGTCAGCATGCGTAGGCTGCAAAGGAACAAGTGAAGGTTATTCCATGCTGAAAAGAAAAGGGATACAAAGTTCAGCTGAGGGGCCTTCTTCAGGTGGAAAAGAAAAACACTTCTTCAGGTGACAAGAAAAGAGTCACGACGTCTCTTTTCTTTTCAGTATGAAATAAATTTTCACTTTTTCAGAGTATTATCAATGTCGGCTTCAAACATCTGTAGCCTTTTAAGTGTTGTGAGATGGTGGTAGGTGGAGACGAGGTAGATGATCTTTTGTCAGCCACATTCCCCAGAGATCTTTGCTGAACTTGGCCACCTGAGCATCTGAAAGAAGAGCATTGGTTAGGTTGCAATTAAAACCCAGGCAGCAGAGGCTCCTTGATTTGGTTAGCATCTGCTGTTTGAATAAGGCAAATCCCCTGTTACACACCTCCACCAGAGGAAATGAAGGAAGCAAGTCTTCAGCCGAGTTACAGACTGTGGAACCTGTAAGTTTTGTTGTGGGAACTTGTGAGTTTTGGAAGAGTGCTTTTTTAAGAGTATCGATTTGGATTTTTAAAGGTGGCAAGCTTTTCCAGGCTTTGGAGAAGGTCTTTAGAAGCAGTCCAGTGACAATCTCATAAAGACCAGGATTTAGTTTTGCATATTGAATATTCTTTACTTACATGATAAATAAAGCAGTGTTATTGCTGTATGGTTTGTGTATCTGCTTTCCAAGACACTGTATTATGGCACCCTGCACACAGGCGTATTGCATATGGTAGAGGATGCGGGCATGGCATTGCCAATTACTCTACAGATAATGTGTTTCAGACAAGAAATCCACCTACCATTCTTTTGTGTAGGAGTGTGATGTTTGTTCTTCATGCCTAAACACAATGAACATGTTAATGTTTACACTGTAATAGCTTAAAGACAGGCTGTAGCAGGGGAAAACAGTTGATGTGTGTGTTATCATTAAGATCATAAAGAATTTCATGTAATAAAAAGAAACAAAACTGTAAAAATTGAATTTTAAAAAAGAGTTTGAATTCCCACAGGTAATCAGATAAAGAACAATTATTTTCTAAAATGGCAGCATTGATTTTGTGTCTGCAATTGTGAGGGATGTGAATAATTTATGATCCCCCACAGAATGTTATTTCAATGCCTTTAACAGTAAGCTCTGGTCGGGACTGTGTTGGACAATCTAAAGGGGTAATAATACACTGTTATGAACACTGATCAGTTGGAATCTAATTGCATGCCAGCAACATCCATAGAAAAAATAACATTCCAGTTAACCTGCTGTGAGCTTTCATTCCAGGGGAATACTGATTTGCTTAGAAAATGAGCAGCACAGGATTACCCTCCCTTTAAATAAATGGGGAATTCTGGTCATACTGTTATGTCCTCACAATGGAAAAAATTGTCATGCTGGTTTATTCCCACTTGAGACTGATGTGGTTGTACAAGAGGATTAAGTGTGTTTTGTTCTAACACCATTAAAATGAAACGAAAGTTGGCCACTCTGTGCATGTTCTAAAAAGCCTCCAAGTACTGTAGGATGACTGCCAAATAATGTGATTTCATTGTTCAATTTCTTATGTTAATCATCTTATCAAGCATATTTGCATGTTTGGACATATTTCAAGGTTTACATTTATAATTAATAAACCTACAAGAAAGCGTATTTAAATTTCTTTTAGGGAATTTGTATGCAGCACAAACGCCATTCAATACTTTGCAAAATAAGAATTGAGCCTTTGGGAGACAGCTAAAATTGGACAATTTAAAATAATGCGAGGAAGTATAGTTTTAATGCAGTCTGCCACACATGTTGATAGGACATTGCTATGGTCTCCCATGTTCATCGGCAGCTCTGTAATTTAGTCTGCCAGATACAACCAGGATAATACTTCAATGATTGTGATCCGCCAGCCACAATTCTGTATTTTCCCACTGATGTTACTGTTGCAAGCCCCTGGTCTTCAAATGAATACTTACATTACTAATCTGATCTCACGGGTGCTTATAGCATAAAACAAGCTTAATGTTTAGTTTACTGTAGGTGTTTTGCTTGAGAAGAATCTGTCACAAAGTAATACTGTGAAAATTAGAGGATTGACACGATATAGTTGTTTTTCTGATCTTGATATCAAAACCTTCACTAGAGAATATGACACATTTCCCTGTATACAGATCCAGTACCAGTGTGTCGGCAGGTTTTCATTCCAACACTTAACAGCTTAAATCAGTTCATTACTGGCGTCTTGGGATGCCAGTATTTAACAGTTTATTCCAGCTCTTCAAGTGGTTGGTGTTTTGAAATGAGCTTGAGGACATATTGGCGACAACCCCTGGTATAGGCATTTATAGAATTTAATGGCGGTAATTTCACCAAGAAGAACCACTGCTGACTCCTATTAACACTGCCAATGTTGTAAAAAAATGATTTTTTATTCAACGAAATAGTGTCCGCAAGCCTTTGTCAATGTCAATATGCTTTCCAAAGGGCAAGAAATAAAAAAATAAATGCATGCATGGTATACTTACATTCGGGGAACAGGGAAGATATTGTTTTCTCCCACTGTGGTGCTGCCTTCACTGTCTTCACTGTACCCACTGCCAAAACTGCTCATGGACGAGGCAGTCGATGCAGCAGATTCTGTAACTCTGTGGCCGGACCTTGCTGTACAAAGAACGAACAGCACTATAAAGTGAGAGAATTCAATCTCTGCAATGTCTGCTACTGCACTGCAAAGGACCCCACACTGTCCAGGTAGTTCAGAATACAATACAAGCCGCATACAGTAGTTGAGACAGCTTTAAATGATAGAAGTTGAGATCCTTCCTCCATCACATTGAATATACTAGGAGCAAAGGCCTTCATTATGTTCACATACTTTCTATGTTCACGGTCTTCACTTCACGTACAGTATACTGAGATTGATATTTTCACAATTCTCAGCAGGTTTTCCTTTTTAAAGACACCTGATTTCAGTCCTTTCTCTTTCACTGCACAGCAAAAAGTAAGTTTTGTTTCCTCTGTAAGCAAAATACTGTATAATGTATTTAAACAAAATAAGTGTACATATGACAGTCTTTCATTTAAAAACCAACAAGGCTGAAAACAATACTCAAATAAGTTTAGCTGTCTGCTTCTCAGTAAATTGGGTATGATAAAATAATAAAAATGGTACATTGTAATGCATCTCTTTGCAAAGGAGAACATTGACACATAAATGCAAATATAGGCATCAGCAATAGCTAACAATACTTGCACACTCACATCCACAAAAGTTTAAGCTTTTTATGAGAATTTACAGGTACTTGGATGTACTATTTCTTAAACATACAGGTCAGACGAGGACACAAGCACGTTTACACATTAATAAAACCAATCATAAAAGCATAATCACATGCTCATATGTACGCACATAGCCACACTAAAGTGCTAAAGCAAATTCAATTACACATTTAATTACATGTATATAAACACAAATTATATGAGAAGAACAATTAATTTTTAGATGAATAGCAAGACTTTCTTGTGTAAATGCTAAATAACAGAAACAGTTTTTAGTATTTTATGTTAACATTTTTTGGGGTGTAGAATTACATATTACCCTTTAGAAAGTGACTTTAAAACATTTTTAACTGATTAAAAATTTAAATTATTTAATTTTTCTTCATAGCATGACACTACCTTAAAATGTCCTTAAAATGCAATACTGTATTTTGGTTCATACAGTGGTTGGACACAGACTTTATACAACCTCTACGCACCTACTGCTACATTTTCAAAAATTGTACAGGTACAGTATTTGCATCTACTTATCCCTGAAATATAATTGTATGATAAAACATGCTGTAGATGTTTCTGCATAATTGTGATTATCTTTGAATCTGGGTTTAAAAAAAATCTAGATCTAATGAAATATGATATGAAATGTTTGGCTTGTTATGAAACCATTTAGAATAATTCATTTATAATGCAAACCTTCCCAAAGGCCATATTAAGTAATTTCTAATGTTTTTGAACAGTTTACTAATACGATTTTCTGAAACATGGGGATCATTGTTTTGTAATACCAGAATAAATACATTTACAAATGTGCAAATTCATGCTCTTAGATGCAGAGACAAACCTTTTTCTTAATTATATAAGAACACAAAATTATTTAAATCCCAGAACAATTGCACAAATTCATACATGTCATTTTTCTGTAGTGTGCAAATGTTGCTGTTATTAAGATAAAGATAAGATCATTGTATTGGCCATATACAATTTCTTGCATTAGGAATTTCTTTCCACATGAAACACGCAGACAGGGAGAGACGGTTGGGGTCAGAGCGCAGGGTCAGCCATTGTACAGCGCTCCTGGAGCAGCTGGGGTTAAGGGCCTTGCTCAGGGGCCCATCTCTGCCGACTGTGGGATTTGAACCGGCAACCTTCCAGCTACAGGCCACAGAGCCACCACTCCACCCTATTAATGGTCAATATTCATTGCTTTGGTATTAGCAAACTGTCCACAGCCTTTAAGAAGCGCATCAGAGCACGAATTATTCAGGAAACACAGTAACTATGTCTCAGTATATACTGTATATATACTGTACGTTAACCCCTCATGTTTCAGTGAGACCAGAAGTGCACTTCTCACCTTCAGTCTTGGGTGTTCCTTCAGACATCACTTTCCTGATGGCGAGCTGACTTGTATCTTTGCTCTCATTGGCTGGTGAAGGCAGATTGTCAGACTGAGTTCTTTGAATTGGGAGGACTCCTGTTATGCTGTGTCTGTGCTGCTTCTTGGCATGACTTGCCAGACCGCTTTTATGAACTGCTGCGGCACGCGTGGGTGAAATGGAAACCCAGAGTATGTATCCTCACATGGCACCAGCTTACGCGTTACACATGCAGACACAAGTGTTTTTGTATTCCTTTAAATTGCGTGAATTTAATTCCGTAGTGTTCCGGACACCAAAAAAGACATCACATGCACAGCATCAAAAGGGTCGAGCTTTTTAAAACTGGCTGTTTGTACTATGTTACATATTCTGAACTTTTAAACTTGTACTGACTACCCAAATAGTTTTAAGGGCAGAGATGTGGGGCATTATGGAGGCTCTCACTGGATATTCTGTAGCAGAACGACTATGAGCAGTGCATCTAAATGCCCACATCTTCCTATGAAAGTGCAATCCCAGCCTTGGTTTCTAATTTTAGGGGTGGGAAGACAGACAAGGTTTTCTTAGAAACAAAGCACAGAGACAGTGCACTTCATAGCTCGATACTTATTGATTTTTTCTGCTCTCCGGAAAGGACCCTTACTGTTCATCTCCTTGCTCTTCTTTGTACACTGATGCATATAGTTTCACTTAAGCTGTATATGCTGTTTAGTCTATATATCTGCAAATGTGCTTATTTCCATCATATGGGCTTAATATATTTGTTATTTTATTTTTTAAGGAGAGGTACACTCTGGAGTAAATAATTATTCACCCCTGACTAACAGTCATTAGTGTATTAGGGAGTACTACATTCCCTAGATATTGTTTACTTGACCTAATCTTGCTCTATTTTTTAGTTATTTATAGGAAGAAGAACTTTATGTGCCTTAGTTTATTTGATGCGTAAACTGTGTCAGGTTCCAAGATATTATTAAGAGATATAAAAAAGACTGCTTTACCTGTGCTATTGTTTAAGATACCATTTTAAACTTTATTGATAATTACCGTATACATAGAAAACTCTGTATAAATTCTGTTTAAAGGACTAAGTCTATAGTTCTATAGAGAAACGTAAATTTTATAACTAAAATTGTGACAGTAAAACAAAAGTATCACTTGTGAAGCAACAAAAATACAATTCTGTTTCTGTACATCTGTTTAAGGTTCATTTCCGATTTAGTCTTTAACACAAGCTGACTTTTACTGTGAGGGCGTGTGAGGAAAGCTCGTGCTTTCTCATTCACGGAAGGCTTTGTGTTTCCATTCTCACACCTATGAGGTGGCATCAAATGGCAGCTTGAGGCGATGGCGTTTGGCAATGGTACTCTTTAAACAGCCAGTTTCACTCCCCTTTTCAGAAACAAAAAGGGTCATAAACTCTTCAAAGTGAACTCGGTGAAGTCATTTCACGACACACAGAGAGGTACATACAGAAAACTTGTGAGCAGACTTGTGTTTACAGGAAGTAGAGAGGCAAAAAACAAAGGAGGAGGGGGGCGGGGAGAAGGGAACGAACAAAGGTAGCAACAGATGATAGTTAAGCTGCCATGCTGAGGAAGTTATTTGCGCCGTTTACTTGGTTGAAGGCGGAGCTGCTGTACAGCTGCTTCAGCCGCCGCTATGGCAGCTCCGGCATCTTCGAGGTGCGTCTGAGTTACACTGGTTTTGCTTTGACTGCGAGACGGTCCATGAGAGCGCAGGTGTCCCTCGGAGGAGGACTTGGAACTGCCGGGGCTACTGTGAGATTTCTCAATAGTGGGCACCTGCATGTCTAAAACAACAGGGCCATGAGTCGCTTCACACAGACAGAACACCGCAAGACCGCGCCGTTTTCCTCACTTCTTGCCACTTCGATCCCTCTTCTGCTGGGCCTCGGCCCCGCTCACGTGTCTTCAAGAGTGTCGCCACGGCAAGTCGCAATTTTCTGGGTCGCTAGTTGCCATAGCGAGGCTTACTTAGAAAAAAAAAAGGGTCTGACGGCAGACTGAAAACTACTTGCATTTAAAAATAGAAAATAAAAACAAATTCAGGACAGCTCCTTGGTGATAACATATATGCCTTCGAACAGATGCTCCTACATCTTACATTGGTTAATTAAGGGTTCAGAATGCATTTTTATTTTTTGTTTTTCACTTAGTAGGCTATTTTTAATCTTCACCTCATTTACAGCACTTATATCGATTGTTTTCATCTTTTGTGTACTATGCAGTAAAATTTGAACTATAGTCTAAACTCAACTCTCTTTGACTCTCTAACTTGCCTTGAGCTGTGAAAAATAAAGGCAACACATGGCCTCTGAGACACATGCACCCTGGCCAGAACCCCGGCAACTGAGACAGGAGTCACCAGTGGAGGATCCCCTGAGCCACCCTATCACACCTAATTCATTACTGTAAGTGCTGGGCCAGTTTGGCGCCGATCCTGTCCATATTCATTGCGAATCAACGCCACATCCAGGGTCTACATAAGGGGTGTTGTACACTCCAGGCAGAGTGTACAGTGAATATGCAATATGTTCACTTTAAAGCTTGGTGAAAATGTAGGTTCTCCATACCCTTGGAAGGATCTGGGAATATTCCGTGACTTCTGCTTTTGATCACCGATGGCTTTGGCGAAGCCTGGTTACTCTGCCCCGAATGAGACCTCCCATGATCGATACTCTCACTCTCTTCCTTCAGAGGATACCACTTTGGTGTGTTGTCAAGGTTGGAGGTGTTAGATAAGTCAATCAGCACCTGGAAATGACATACTGAAATTAGATACACATTAGATAAATAAAAGACCGACTTTAGCCAATTCTATCTGAGAATGGAGGTTCACTCAGTGAGGAAATTTGCCATGACTCATTCTGTTGACCGTGTGGGTTGGTGAACCTGGTAGGAATCAATCCTTGTACCTTTGTGTTACGACTAGCACCCTACAAAACTCTACTAAGTGATGAGGATCAATTAAGGGCTACCATCATTGTGGTAACTCACAAAAAAGCATTTTAGCAGCATAAATTACATATTCTTTTATGATAAACTGCAACTTACTTCTCCGAGAAAGTCGTTAGAAGAGAATCTGTCGTAATCCCAAACAGTCAGTTCCAGGGTCTTCTTTTTCAGCTAAGGAAGAACAGGCACATAAATTAATGAATTCCTTACACTTACTGTATATAGCCCTTTTCTGGACACTCCACTCAAAGCGCTTTACAAGTAATGGGGACTCCCCTCCACCATCACCAGTGTGCAGCCCCACCTGGATAATGTGACCGCAGCCATAGTGTACCAGTACACTCCCCACACACCAGCTCTCAGTGGGGAGGAGAGTGATGAAGCCAATTCATAGATAAGAATTATTAAGAGGCTGTGATTGGTAAGGGCCAATGGGAATATTGCCAGGACAACGGGGTTACACCCCTGCTCTTTTCGAGAAACACCCTGGGATTTTTAATGACCACAGAGCGTCAGGACCTCGGTTTTATGTCTCATCTGAAGGATGGCACCCGTTTACAGTATAGTGTCCCCGTCACTAAACTGGGGCATTAGGACCAACATGGACCTGCTGGCCCCACTAACACCTCTTCCAGAAGCAACCTTAGCTTTCCCAGGAGTCTCCCATCCAGGTACCGACCAGACTCACACATACTGAGCTTCAGTGGGCTGCCAGGTGTGAGTTGCAGGGTGATATGGCTAAATGACAGAATGGGTGGGAGAGCAACTTTTGGCACTTTCACTTCACTGTTCATTTTATTGTAACATTTCAGAAAAATCCTTAGAGATATCCAAGCAGCTGATGGGTTTCCTAACATTGCCAAAGTTCTATCAAAAACAGGAGATGGGAAACCAGAGAACAGGGGGGATAAATTGCCTTGGCCCTCCAATGTGCAAACTGATTCAAAATTGATAAAGAATTATATTTCTGTTGTCCCTAATTATCCAATTATTTTATTTCCTACTTGCTTAATTTTCTTTTCTCTGTATTTACAGTATATGGTCATATATAGACATTTATCTCAGTATATATTTTTCAGGGGAAAGATATGTTCAGGGGATATTCTTCAGGGGAAAGATATGTTCTAAAAGGACTGAATAAAAGGAACTATAGGAACAACCTATAGTTGGGATGCTTCTCAACACATTGCAGTCCTTTATGCTGCTTTTTCCTTCGACGTTTATGACAAAAGTTAGTTAAAATGACAAAAAGTAACCTAAGCAAAAGCAAAAACACGTCAGATAATGCAGCTATTCTGGTAGTAAGTACAGTAACAAACCAAGGACATAATATTATCCATTTTTTATGGATATAATTTGCGTTGACTATTACAATTAATAAAAGCAATAAACTTTATTATACACAGTACCTTTAAAAGTAATCTCAAAGAGCTTTACAATGTAGAAAATGTGCAGAAGTTGTAGTCTTTCTAGTTACACAGTTAAATAATGGCTAAATAATACCAAATCAAGCTAAATCACAATCAGTGTTGAAATACATTTCAATACAGTGTTTCAATCGATCAGAAAAACAGTCAAAGATAAGCATACCTGCTCCAGATGAATGTTTTTATAAATCACAGTTTGATTCCATTCTGGGTTCAGGCTTTTCTGCACATGCTTTGTTCTTCTCTTGTTCTCGGCACTAAAATTGAATATGAAGAAATGTGACGCAATTTCTGAGAACTACAGAAACCCGAGCTTCAGCTGAAATTGTTGTGCTTCACGAAGATCACATGCAATTTTTAAATCTTTAAAAAAACTACACCAAACACCAAAAAAAAACAAAACAACAGATGTGCAGTAAACAAAATGTAACCCTCCAGCGAAAGTTATGCACAATAAGAAACTGAGAAAAATAAAACCATAGAGGGCAGAAACAATATAATACATTACAGGTAATCTTTTTATAACAAAACACTGCAAATAATACTGCGTGGGTAAAACATCTGCACTCTCTGAGCCAAAACATTGTGTGGCTTTCACCGGCAGCTTTGGTTACAAGTAAATGTTTTTGTTCTAGATTTGGCAGATGATGCTCATACAAAAACAATTCTACATACTGAACAATATTTTCCACTGGCACACAATTTAATTATAAGCGACTTTATACTTGGGTCACCTGACCCGAGTCGACTTTCAATGCATTCAGGTCAGGTGACTCTAGTGGCTGATCCAGGATCTCAATCCTTTCCTTGGGGCATGTGAGCCTGCTAGCACTAGATGCACAATTCTGTAGGCTGGCACCAGTCCGTACTGAAACCTTAATGAACATTACCAATTGAATTGTTTTTTTGCTATGGACTGCTTTTTAGCCTGAGCAGCCCACAAAGGAGAAAAAAGACAACTGTCATGTTGTGGAAGTTTGTGTTTTTTTGTTTTCTTTGCATGAGAGAGGTTAAGGAGACAAAAAAAAGTTTGTATTTGCCAAACTCCCTGAGTAGGACATCAGTGAACATATCACTGGTACAAAAAAGCTTGGGAATACCTATAATCTAGAACTTTCTTCTTTAGAAGGACATTTATCTAACTGGTTATGTGTCTGTTCCATTACTCTTTGTGGAACCACTTGTAAAGGTCCATTACAGTTATATACAGTTGGTCTTGTCCAACTGGTAAAGCATTTATCTTGTTCTGGTATCTGGTATCATCTTGGGCTTATGTTTCTACATACTGTATTGTGATGAAGTTTTTCTCTAATGCTATAACTAATTTATCTGAATAGTTTTGTTCCTTTTGCAATTCACTTTTGTTAAAATATATTTAGTGTAATATCTGTTTTACTGTACTATAATTGCATGTTTAATAACCTGAATATCACTTTCTTCTATGAATATACAGTATATGAGCACATGTGCATACAGTACATGATAATACATGATACAGTACATAGTACACATGTTACTTTAGTACACAGAAATGTAGACAGATACAGTACCCTTGAGAAAAATACATAGTCAGTTTTCAGAGAGATTTCAGTTTAATATCAAATAAAACATTATGACATGTTTCAGATACCAATCATCTACTGAACTTGTTTTCCTTACCGTATGATCACTGCAACTACATTACACATCAAAGAATAACCCCCCCCCCCCGCCAATAACAGCATTAAAAGGTGTGCAGTTGGAATTAAATATGATCTTTAGCAGCAATTGTGCTTGAAGACTCATCAGCTCAGCAAATGGAAGCCCAACTTACTAAAGGGAGATTCGTATTTTAGAATGGCAAGCAACCAAGCAAAACAAAAAGGAGAAGCACCACACTACCTTGCATTCTGGACAACCATGACTTGGCTGCATAGATCCAAAGGTTTGCAGCAAAAGCAAATTTGAAAAAAAAAAGTCAGACAAGCAGAAGGGGGGAGAAACCAAGAGAAAAAAATCAGAGGAAAGTAGAGAGAAAGATGCAAGAGGTGATTGAGAACTGTCATTAAACTATACCTGCAAGGTATACAGTATACATCTTTAACAGCTGGGAAGCTGGAAATACTATCTTTACATTAACAAGAGATCTGTAATGTGGCTGCCATTAAACAGCAGCTAGGGTGCTTGAATGTCAGTGGTTTGCTCAAAGACCGCATTATTTACTGTACTTCAGTCCAGAAACAACAAATATTATCACATCAGACCTTGACCTTAAAGCCTCTAATTTTTTTCAGAATTTCAAAAAATGTTAATAGAAATTAGGAAACATTGAAAGAAACAGGACATAATACCGAAAAACACAAACATTACGGTTACTTTAATCCAGTTTAAATTTGATTGTTCAGGACCACCTTTGGACTCTAACAATTCACCAGTAGTATAAAGTGAAATGTTTTGCAAGACATGCAATATAGCAAAATTGATATTATTCTTGAAGGCTCCAGTATACCTTCAGATTATTGGTTATTAAAAGTTTGTATTACCAATAAAAAAATCCTCAAATGTATGAATGATACACTTGATATGCAGAATTATGTAAATAAAAAAATAGTAGATATACAAGGGAACAACGGCTATGGCTGGAGTAGAGTCCTCCAATTCATAATTCAGTCTGAGATCTTAATCCAGATATTACTTTATCCAGAATGAGCTGACAAAAAAGAACAAGAATTGAACAGTGGGGAAAAGAACAAAAATCTTAACTATTGACATATCTGTGCCAGTCCTTGTCCATTGAACCTGAATTTATACATTCTAAGTTCCCTTCAGAAAGTAAGAAATGTATTGTTTCTAAACAGTTATATGAATAAGAAGATGTGCTTAAACTGTTACAATATACAGCCACACATTTCTGAAGATCATAGAACTTATTTTAATGTCTTACAAATGAAATGAGGTCCGTTGATACCATCTTTGTGGAAAACAGATATTATATTTAACATTCTGCTAAGGGGCCCAGGACCAGCGCAATGCTCTGAAGCACTTACTCACAACACATCAGTGCTCCTCACACCTCCCTGTGGGGTGCTAAATCTCTAATTATATCCTGGCATGATCCCACATCTTGATTTCTCTGTCTTAGGAAACATCTCTTTTCAGTCCAACAAAGGCAAAACAACCTCCCCCCCCCCAAGGGTCCTACTGTATATACTGTATAACACAAGCTTTTGTTTTAAACAAAAAAAAAACACAGCTTTTGTTTAAAGCACCCTATCTTAAGATAATAAGGGAGGGGTATTGAAGTTTCAAGTTACAGGAACAACAAAGAATAAAAAAGTAAAATGTCAACTCTTCTGAACATGATCCATACCTTCTTCCTGGTAGGAGATACACTCTCACAAAAGGGTCTGAATAGCCGTTGTTGTCCCGGGGAGCAAGGTTTCTTGCTTGTAGAACATGAAGTATGAGGTGACCAAGATGTTTGTCATAATTCACTTGAAGCTTGGAAGGAAAGGAAAATGAGTGATTCCAAAAACGGAATCCTGGGAGCTCTTTCAGATCTCTGCTATGTAGGCCGCTTGTGTTTCCTGTGACATCAATCTATAAAATGTTTATCTGATCACACATTACACAAAAGTCATAATGTTTTACATTGTGTCCTTAAGATTCTGGTGACAATAACATAGAGATTAACACCTATGGTATAAATTAATGATGTGTTAATAATCTGTTACATTTGGACAACTGATTGCCTAAAAAGAGCGCGAATGCTGGTATCAATTTACAAGTCTTTTAAAAAACGAATTTTTAAGTTGCCTACGACAGAACTTACCTGGAGTTCACCAGTGATTGGGTGTAACTGGGACTTTGTTGCTTCTGTAGGCTGGAAGAAATTCCATGAAAGTCAGATCAACACATTTGCACTATAAACTCACAAACTGTACAAATACACAGGTTACGGACATGAATAATTATCACCTGTTTAATTAGTAATTAAAGATGTGCCCTAGGAAAATCAAGGCTTTAGACAAAATAAATTATGCCAGTTTCACAGATCATTTCCATTGTGTGTTTGGTGGAGATGGTGGAAAATGTCAATTTTTAACACAGAGGTGAAATATAAGCTCACCTATATGTGTGAAACAAAAATAATTAAAAAGTTCTTAGGCAAAAAAATATGGATGTTCTCTGCTCCCCTATTCTTGTGCATTCCTTACATTGTAAACTGCATGATCATCTTTTAGCTAAAACATTTCCAGCTATTTTATTGAGGAAACCCAGCTTGTTTATAGTGCTGAAAAATATTTCCTTGTAATTAAGAGAAAGAATATTGAGACAGAAGAATTACTACTGGTATACTGTACATGTGTTGGCATACGTTATGGTTTGAAGCAATAAACTTGGTTGAGCCACATGGCTCAGCATTGGTTTGCACTAGCAGCTGAATAATGGCAAGCGAGTGTAATTTGGACACCATCAGATACCTGTCAGATATGGATGATTGCTTGGGTCTTCTCCAATCTATTTCATTTTACTACAGAATAAGTGAAAGTTTGCAGTATTCATTGCACAAGCAAATATCTCCTGCACTCCAGATGCAACAACACAAATTTGAATGTATTTTGAATTCAAAACCTTAACACCACTATCAACAGCACCTGCATAAAGAGCCATGAAATAGGAGGTTTCTATTTTATCTCCTTCCACAAAGCAAGTTAGAAGCAAAAGATTAATCAGAGACACTGGGCGCAGTCAACTCATACATAAAATATTTAAAACATAATGTTAATATATGTCTAAAGATAACAGTCCCTCTGCGTAAGCTGTGTGCAAAAGCTTGACATAAAAAAGAGTTACTTGGGAGCTATATTTAGAAATATATTTTGTCTTAAAAAATGCATAACGCAAGATGGTGCAGCAGTTGAGCATAAAAAATCCCCTCAAGCATCACTTTTTAGATATCTTGCAGGGATTGAGGTTTGAGCCACAGGAATAAGATATAAACTAATGATGGGAAAAATGCATTTTTAGGTCAGTTCACAGACTCGAGATTGTGTACTGCAGTGAAAGTACGACATGAAGTGTGAGAGAGCAGCTGAACGAGAGCTACTTTACATTATTGATAGGCCAGAAACATCCATTTTAAAAAGGAAGGTTTCAGTACAGAAAAACAGCACATAACATCTACAAGGATTCAGTAATAGATGGTGGAAATCATTTAAATGAAAAGGTGATGCATGCTATATTTTGTGTGTGCACGTGTGAGCGAGATGGATGAGGTGACCCAGAATGAGATTTGTCCCAAAACTTAACAATTTTCTAGAAGACCTGCAACCAAAGGAATCAGAAATTGGTTTCTGCATCTGTTTATCACAAACCCACTTCTCACAATATCCTTTCTGACCGTCTACAATTTCGCTCCGAATACTCATCATTTCACAACAAATGCAATACATTATTTATGGGCTAGAAACAGTCATCTTAAAAAGGAAGGTGTCGGTACAGAAAAAACAGCACAAAACATTAACAAAGATTCAATATTAGATGTGTGGAAAACATTTTAATTAAAAGGTGACACATGTTATGTTTTGCAGCTTGAAGCTGTAATTAGTTGTGCCAACACAAGACACTGAACCATTATTACATATCTTCATGAATGGTACAAATATAAGTGGAAAACCACAAGCCTACAAGCCCTGTCTGTTCTGTGGCTGGGAGTGTGGGGGTGCATGTTTGGAGCTGAGTGATTCTGAGAATAATTTTTTTTTTCTGTAGTTAATTTTTCTCTTTTGTGGGAGTATACTATATAGTGATTCATTGTTGCTAGAATTACTAAAATGTATAAGCAGTTTTTGGGAACAGACTTGGCCGCTAAGTCAAGAGGAAACCTACCTATGTGTCAAACTTAACAAGGAGACATGTAGCTGTAATAAATGTGAGTGTAGTTGTACTTTGGCTACTTGCAGAACCAGCAAGGAAAATGACCTATTGTTTCTGTGGCGATTGTGGACAGGAAGGCTGAAGTGTTTAAGCATCTGTAGAAAAGAAAAATCCAAACACTACACTTGTATCCATCTATATTATATTCAGGGTCGCAGAGGGGCCAGAGCCTATCCCAGAAAGCAACAGGCACAAGGCAGGATGCACCCAGGAAGAAAGGTGAGTCCATCACAGTATTACACTTTTAATACTAAAAAATGTTCCTTGAGTCTGTATAAGCAAAGGCACTGGAGAAGGAACTAAAGGAGCCCAGAGGAACCCAAGAGCCTGAAGGACAATCCATACCGCTGTTTAGAGCGATATGCACCCTGGATAGAAACACCATGGAAAAAGTAACTAAGAAAAGTTGGTCCCAGGAAAGGAAGTAAAATTCAACCACCCAAATGATATCATTCAACAACACTTACAGTATCTCCAGTCTAAGACCTGACTGGGATCTCAGTGCAGGAGCCTTCAGGACACTAACTGACCCTGAAACTCAGACCCTTGTCTAAACTACATTGACTGCCAGTTTGACCAAACGTGTACAGAGAGAAGTGGTGGTTGCTGGAGACTCCATTCTCTGGAACAGAAACCATGAAATGGCAGAGGTTGCTCCAGGGTCATTCGAAGAGTTTTTTTAAGGCAACGAAGGTTTCTGTGTTTCCACGTTGGCACAAACGAGTTTGGTAGAAACACCACTTTTATCTCAGCAGCACCTTTACCTAAACAGCACCTTTACCAAAAAAAAATTAAAAACCTTCTGGAAATGAATAGAAGATCAGGACCAAATTAGTAGTCTTGTCAGGAATCTTAACAGCACTGGAAAAAAGCTGAATAACTTCAAATGCTAACACAACACATGGCTGAAGACATGCGGTGCTGAAGATGCTTCATCATTCTCGGCCACTGGAAACTTTCCATGGCAAAGGCCATCTGTACAGACCTGGCAGAGTGCATCTAGTCATTGCTTGTTTTGGAAAAAGGATCCATGGAAAGGCGGAGAAGTCAGAGAAAATCCGAAAGGAAGATATTTGGGATAGAAAGTTAAAAGAAGAGTTCAAGGGAATATAATGAAACAAACACCTGGGTATTTTAACATTTCTACCCAAGAAAAAACTCAGAATTAGTTCTACACTGACAGGCTATAAGAGCTGAACCCTTTTCTTCACAAACGTGAACACTCATGAACTCGAAGGCTCTGACATACTCAACCTAGTCTTCCAAAATTAACAGTGAAACACAGAGCCAAAACCAATAAAGCTCAATCTGGAAGATATTATGCAGAGATAATTATAACTAAAGGCAGCTCTGTGAGTAGAAGGGATGATACTGTAATTCCACATTTTATGAGGTGTCAGCTAGTCAGCAGATGAGAGGAGGGTACAGTGTGGAGAATATCCATGTACTGTACTGCATATTTAGACATGGTGAGAGCAGGTGGGAGTCATTGTAGGTGATTACTTTCCCAGTCTCCACCTGCTTGTGAGTTAATCGTGAAAGTTCCCTGAAAACGTCTGATGTCACATGTCTTTTGTCTTAGTGAGTTATTTGTTTTTCTTTCTTAGCGTTCGGCAGTGTGCTTTTGTCTGCACATTATTAATGCACAATCTTAGCATGTAGGCTCTCAATGTATTGCAGATGGGGGTAGGGATGCAGTCCAAAGAGCAGCTCTCATCGACAGTCTCGTATAGACTGTCTCGTATCTCGTATAGAGAAGCATACGTGGCAGTTTTGTGCACCAAACACACACGGATATTACTCTTCGGCTTGAATGGTCAGCTATGGGGGTGGGAAGCAAGACATGGGTGTTATTTTAATGACATTCTTTTTCATTCTCCTGGAACATGTGCAGATCACTCTGCCACATTAGGGATCCCAGCCTGGTCACTTGTGGGCTCCAAGCTTGCATGACGGCACTCTCTATGAAAAGATCTGGTCCTATTCCAGTGTAACAATCTGTACTGATGTACTCCTGTAAAGGATGTATCTGTAACAGATTTCTATCCTGTCTTGATTCAGAGTAATCAGAGGGGTGTGACCTCACTTCTGTAACTGGATTTTGTAAATAGTGCATTAACTCAGAGCTGGGATGCAGCTTACAGTATGTAGTTTGTTGTTGGTGATCTTAACAGGAAATGAGCAATTACAGTGAACAGAGTAAGAATTGGGACAGCAAAGTGAAAATTGTTTGCTGTGTATTAATAAAATTTGTATTTCAAATTTAAAGATTAAACTGAGGCAAAAGTAAAGAATTTAGCTTTACAGCAGTGTTTTTGTGTTCAATATTTATGCTTACTTACACTTAGCTACTGTCCCAATATCTTTTCATGAGGGAGGAGCAGCTCAGAGCTACACCCTAGACCAGACATGAACTGCTGGACATCTAGAGTAATCCCCAGCAAGCTGCCAAAAAGATCATATCAACTAAAGACTCCCAGTCTGGTATCTTTGGCCAAATTGGACAGATACTGTTATACAGTACATTTCAATAAAATCTGGCAGGAGGTTGCTGCAAGTTGCTGCATTTCTAGCTGCATTTATTTTTTTCTGACCATAGTAAGGTAAATCTTAAATGTATCATCTGGCAACCTAAAGAGTACAAATTGTAGTGGATCTAAGTAGTATTTAAGGATAGGATAAAAACAAGTCTTCCCTTCACGGAGACAGTGGTGGGATGTACTGTAGCTGACGTGTGGGCAAGATGTTTTTGTCAGCAGTAATGCACACATGACAGAGTGCAGCTAGAGTCATTAATCTTCTGGAGCAAAACATCACCGAATTCCTAGGAACTCTGCAGGTTGCTTGTAAGCCTGATGGTGAAACAGGGAAGACTGGCAGACTTGTTAGATGGGTGCAGGGTGCATTGAAGCTGTCTAGATTGCAGGCCTTCTAATAGGTGGATGCACGTTCTCAGGTTGTCTT